CTTTAGGTAGCCAAAACATTTTTACTTACTTAGATATGGATTATCTTTCTAAAATACAGGGCCATTTATGTCCTCCTTGCTTTGTGTTTAGTTTTACTTTTCAATCATCTGGAACAAAAATTTCCACCTCTAGCTTGGTACCATCTAGAATCATTCTGGCCCTTGACACTGTACCCTCTGTTAGTGCACTGCCTAGAAATGCAGAAGCCCTATGCATGAAGAAGCCACCCTTAGAAAAGAGCATCAGCTGCCAGAAGTTACTTTGGTATATGAAAATGACAAGCAGTCCAAAATACTTAAAATTTTTTACATTTAAAGCTTAATAGGAGAAAAACAAAGGTTGGGGTAATAATGTTCAAAAAAGAAATGTACTCATTGTCTTACTCATGTAACTGTAATCCTTCTGTACAGCATCTTTACAATAAAATAAAATTTAATTTTAAATTGTTTTAATGTTTTAACTTATCCTTAGTGACATTTTATATATATATTTTATGCAAGTGATCAAAGATTGATTGGATTTAAAGGCAAATGGTTTTGTTAATTAAATGGTAAAGAAGACAAGGGAAAATATTAACCAAAAAATAAAAGAACCTTTAGTAATGGTATACGAAAGTAGTTGTCATAGTCACTCAGTCTGAGATTCCATTGTCATTGGTTTTTCAGCTCTTCAGGAGAAGCGTTTAGCATTAAGGGTGCTTCTGCCAATGGAGGGATAATTATTTACAAGTGAAATAGTCAGTTGACACTTTGAAGTGGAAGACTTTTACTGCTTTTATGAAACTAAGAATCTCAAGCACAACTGTCTCATAAAACCTACAAACTGCAGATTTTGCTATACTATCTGGTCACACTTATATCTCTTAAATACTATACACCAGTGCAAGGAGTCAGAGCCCTCAAAGAAACAACTAGTTTTTAGATCAGAAGAAGGAAAGATAAAATTTGAGCCTGGCTGGGAATGTGGCTTAGTAGTAGAGTGCTTGCCTAGCATGCATGAGACCCTGGGTTCAGTTCCTCAGTACTGCCAAAAAAAAAAAAAAAACAAACTCAGGGACAGCACCCAAACCCTGTGTTCCAGCCCCAGGACCAACACTGACAGGGGTAGGGAGAACAAAAAAACAAAATCTTGAGCCTGGAACTCTTGTCTTGTCACACCAGCTAGCAAAGAAGTTATCAAAGACTGCTAAGATCTACTTTGTAGACATCAAGAATGCATATATGTCTATACCGAATATGCTTAAATCCATGAGTTCATAATTATGCTTCTAAAACTAAAAATATAAACCTCATTGAGTATACTTGGAGAATATGAGGAGCTACCTCATGGTTTTAAGAACTAGTAAATGAAGAATCAGACATCTTCCCTGCCTTGTGTATAAGCTCTGAGCCTCAAGGTACCTCAGAAGGGAATTTCACTTTGTAAAATTATTTCAGCTAATAAAATCAAGCGTGAATAACAAGAGCATCACTGAAGTTTCTCAGGAGTTACTGGAGCCAGGCAAATGGCATCAGTGGCTCATAATATGATGAAAAGAGTCAGACATTCCATTCTTCCCAATGGGAATTTGAGACACTGCATGAAGTAGATTGGTCTTTTCACTGCCCTCCCAACTGAAGCTTGAATCAACTGAAACCTCTACATCAATTACAGTTTATAGGAAAAGGATGTACAGAATGAAATGTTAAACCACAGCTATGGGATGGTGTGTGCCAAATCACCAAAGAGCACAGTTTGCTCAACAACAATAAAAATTACAAGGCAAGACTAGCAATGAAGACAAATCCTATAAACAATAGAAATTCAAAATAGCCTATCAAATAATGGTAGTATTTGAGCCTTTGTTGCATCCATAGTCAGACAAACCTTAAAATTGTAAGGCATCATAATGCATATGTGATCATATTCAGCAGTTGTTTCAGATGCGATATGGTAATATTTATGGTTTTGCATTTTTCATTGTCATTGTCTTTTAGAGACACACACTGAAATATTTATGTGAAATGATGTAATATTTGGTCTTGGCTCCAAAACACTCTGGCCTGAGGGGCCCTCATAAGATTGGCTGAGGACAGTGGATAGAAGTATAAAGATAGAAGTATAAGTAGAAGAAACAGAATTGGTCAAGTATTGATTGTTGTTGAAACCAGGAAGTAGACACAACTAGTTTGTTGTCATATTTTCTTTCCTTTTGCATGTATTTGAACACTTCCAAACTAAATTAAAAGTTTATGCATACATACTGGGTGTGGTGGTGCATGCTTGCAAGCCCAGCACCTGGGAGGTTGAAGCAGCAGGATTTTGCAGTTGAGGCCAGCCTGAGTGGCATAGGGAAACCTTATAGGAAAGACAGAAAAGGAGATGGAGATAGAAGTAGAGAAGAGAAGGAAGGAAGGAAAGGAAGGACGGAGGGAGGAAAGGGAAGGAAGGGAGGAAGAAGGCAGGGAGGGAAAGAAGGAAAGAGGGAGGGAAGGAAAGGAAGGAAAGAAGGAAGGAAGGAAGGAAGGGAGGGAGGGGAAAGGGAAGGAAGGAAGAAAGAAAGGAAGGGAGGAGGGAGGGAAGGAAGGAAGGAAGGAAGGAGGGAAGGAAGGAAAGGAAGAAGGAAAGAAGGAAGGAGGAAGAAAGGGAAGGAGGGAAGGAAGGAAGGAAGGAAGGAAAGAAGGAAGGAAAGGAAGGACGGAGGGAGGAAAGGGAAGGAAGGGAGGAAGAAGGCAGGGAGGGAAGGAAGGAAAGAGGGAGGGAAGGAAAGGAAGGAAGGAAGGAAAGAAGGAAGGAAGGAAGGAAGGGAGGGAGGGGGAAGGGAAGGAAGGAAGAAAGGAAGGGAGGAGGGAGGGAAGGAAGGAAGGAAGGAAAGAGGGAAGGAAGGAAAGGAAGGAAGGAAAGAAGGAAGGAGGAAGGAAGGGAGGGAGGGAAAGAAGGAAGGAAGGAAGGAAGGGAGTCTAAACTGACACATATAAGGGACAGTTTGTCTAGAGATATGTAGGTATACATATGCTATGAAATTATTAAAATTGCAGTTTTTTCACCAAAGTTTAAATGTTTAAAAAAGAATCCTTAACATTTGCAAGCAGTGACAATGAAAGTGCTGTGAAACATTTATGTGTAAAGCTGTAACCCAGTGGCATTCTATGCCTCCATCATAAAGAATGACATCGCCCCATTTGTTAGGAAATGGAAAGCCTTGGAAAAAATTATATTAAGTGAAGTAAGCCAGGCCCAAAGAAACATAGGTCCCATGGTTTCCCTTACTTGCAATATCTAGTATATGTCTGAGTCAAGCAGAAAAGGTCAGATAAGTTGGTGTTAGGGAAATGAACCCTAAGATATGTATTCAGATGTTTTTTTTTCTTTCATGCAATTGTTTCTAACACATTTATAAGATGATTTCTTTGTTGCTTTGTATGTCCCTCCCCCACAGTATAACCCCTGCTTTCACTGTATTTGATGTCGGTATAATTTGTGGAGGGAAAGGGGAAAAACAGATCGTTTAAATAGGGATACAGGTGGATCCATTGCAACAATGAGATGTACAAGTCGTTATGTTGAAAGTTGAAAACGGGGGGTGGGGGTGAGGATTGGGTGGAGGGATGGGGGGAGGATGGGAAGGGATGGGAAGGGGAAATAAAGGAGGCAACAATGCTTGATAAGAAATGTACTCATTATCTTGCCCATGTAATTGTAACCCCTCTATACAGTATTTTCACAATAAAAAAAAATAAATAACTAGTATATGTCTGAGACGAGCAGAAACGGTCAGATAAGTTGACGTTAGGCGAAATGAACCCCAAAATAAGGGCTCAAATGTTTTTTCTTGCTTTCAATTGTTCTAACATATTTATAAAATGATTTCTTTGTTGCTTTGTATGTTCCTCCCCCACGGTATAATCCCTGTTTGTACTGTATTTGATGTTGGTATTATTTGTGGAGGGGAAGGGAAAAAAACAAATGGTTTAAATAGGGATACAGGTGGACCCATTGCAACAATGAGATGTACAAGATGTTATGTCGAAAAACGAACTTTACAACTTTGGCGTGGGAAGGGATGGGAAGGGGAAACAAAGGAGGCAACAATGCTTGATAAGAAATGTACTCATTACCTTGTAATTGTACCCCCTCTGTACGGTATTTTCACAATTAAAAAAATTGCTGTGGTGCAGAATAGTGTACACCCAAGTACCCTCTTTTTTGTTATTGTTATTCTACATTTTTTAAGCGTCAATCAGGTGTACAAAGAGGTTTCATTTTGACCAATTTATAGATGCATACCATGTACCTGGATCAGACCCTCTGTGACTGCCTCCTTTCTGCTCCTCCCTTCCTAAGCTACTCTCAGCAAGCTTCATTGTTCCACTCTCTCATAATGTACATAAAGTATATTGCCTATTATCACTCTCCTTTGCCCTTTCCTCTCACCCACCCTTCCCATTAGCACTCCCTCCATAGGACTTGTTTTACATTTTTACCTCTCCACGCCCCCCACCCTGCCGTGTATGTGCCTGATGATTGTTCCAAATGGTTTCACCATGGTATTCCACATATACAGCATTGTAATCAGATTGATCCTGTCATTTACCCTCACTTTCCCCATCCCCACTACCCCTAGTATTCAACAGCTTTCAATGAGTTTCACTGTAGTATCTCCATTCACATGTGCAAAGTATTTAGGTATTGTTTGCCCTGTAATCTCTTATTACCAACACCTAGACTTATAGTCAAAAGTGAGACTCCAAGTTGTGTATTCAATTAGTTATTTCCGTGTCAGAACCTGGAGTTTTGAGTCTAACGTAAAGGATGTAAATGGTCCTGCATGAAATGTCCTAATTTGGCAAACCTCAGGGCCAAGGGGAGAGAAAGAGAGTTAAAAGGCTTTACTACAAAAGGACTTAAACATCCTAGAGCTCTGTCAAGGGTCCTCTCCTTCAATAGAAGTTTTTCATGTTTCTAAGTTATTTTTTATCCTTATGAGTAAATAAATGTATTATTATTTGTTTTCTCCTAGTTGGGGAATGGCGGTCAATGTGTATTCTACCTCGATAACCCAAGAAACTATGAGCAGACATGACATCATTGCATGGGTCAATGACATAGTATCTCTAAACTACACAAAAGTGGAACAACTTTGTTCAGGTAAGAGATTGTTTGAACTGTTGATGGTTCTGCGGGATGTGATTGATTGATTGATTGTAGGTCATGGGGCTTGAACTCTGTGCCTGGGTGCTGTTCCTCAGCTCTTCAGCTCAAGGCTAGCACTCTACCACTTGAGCCATAGCACCATTTTCTGGGGTGTGATTTTTATAAAATATATGTGATCATATATTTGGGATGAGAAAAAGTATGTATCAGTAATTGATAGATAGTTGAAGGGGAAATTTGAGGCATAATTGAGGAACATAAGGGAGAAAAATATCTGTGATTATCTGAGAGGCATATGAGCTCCTCTTGCTTGCTCTCTCTAATGCCTCTCTGTAATGCAGTCCTGGCCTCTCCTCCATCATGCCATTTACCACCACTCTTACTGATTAAAACGCAGTAGATCCTTTGTGATCCTCTCCTATGAATATCCACCTTTGGTCTCACTGTGTGACTGTCTAGAAACCCTCTATAATTTATCATGTCCCAGTGTATTTTTTTTAACCATCCAGTATGTTTACTTGTAGATTTATAGGCACATTCTAGTTATCGCAAATAAGGGAAACAATCCAACCTATGTTTCTCTGGGTCTTTGCTTAATATAATTTTTTCCAAGTCTTTCCATTTCCTTATAAATGGTACAATATCATTCTTTTTGATGGAAGAATAGAATTCTAATAGATATACAACATTTTCTTGATCCATTCATCCACTTAGGACCATCTGTCAGCTCAATAGCTATGTGCAAAATAATATTTTACAAAATAAACTCCAAGAAATGGAAACAAGAGATGGTTTTTGTTGCTATTTTTGCTGTCTTTTTCCTTTTGTTTGCTAATTTGTTGGTCCTTTGGAGGGTAAGGGGGGGCACAGAAAAGGTGGGACAAAGAGTAAACAGATGCAGCAATGCTACTCACTAGACGCTATATGGAAAATGAACTCTACAACTTGTGGGTGGGGATGGAAGGGAAAAACTGCAAGAGAGAGAGGGAAGAGGTGACACGGTTCAAAAAGAAATGTGCTCATTGCCTTACTTATGTAGCTGTAACACCGCTGTACATCACCTCTACAACACTAATAAAATATATATTTAAACTACACGCCTATAGGCTCATACCTGTAGTCCTAGCTCACGTATGTAATCCTCAGGAGGCTGAGATATGAAGATCTCAGTGTGAAGTCAGCCCAGGCAGGGAAGTCCATGAGATTCTTATCTCCACTTAACCATCCAAAAGCAAGAAGTGGAGCTGTAGTTCAAGTTGGAGAGCACCAGCCTTGAGTGGAAAAAACTAAGGGACAGTGTCCAGACCCTTAGTTCAATCCCCAGTAGTAGTTTGCTTGTACGTGCCTGAGCATGCGCACACACGCACATACACACACACACATCACAGTAGATCTTGAAACAGTCTTTCTTAAAAACTTGTAAGATTCCTCATTGCCCCTCTTACAGGTTAAAATTCAGTACCTACATAGCTGCTAATGTCCTTTGCCTTCTGGCTGCCTCTTCCCCATTGTCTGAGGTTTATCTCCACATTGCTGTCAGTTGTGCCTCAGTTCCACAAAACACCCTAAGTTTCCTAAATCTCCTTCCATTTGGCATCTCATAGTTTTGTTCTTTTGCTAAGAAGGTCTTTCCCCATCTTTGTTTGTGGCAAAATATTGTTTACAGTTTCAAGTCTGTCTGGCTCACCTCCTGCACACTCTTGTGAGGTAGCCTCCAGGCTCCCAGGTTCTGAAATGTTCCTGAAACATCTCCATCCCCCAAGGACAACAGCTGCCATACTGTGTTGTAATGTCTAGCTCCTGCTGCCCCAGAGACACAGAGGGTTCTTAAGAGAGGCATATATTTTACTTTCTGTTGAACACCTGAGGTAGCATTGTATCCACTGAGTACATCTGTATATGGAATTAAAAATAGAAATTCAATTTCAATAATAAAGTAGGGACATGTTGTAAAGTAATGCATTCTTTGGTTTAAGCATTTATCAAAAAAATAAATAGGCCTTTCTTGGAAACAAAAAGGTATTTTTCTTCTTGTAAACTAACAAGTAAGAGATTTCCTCTCTGCCTCTGGCTCTAACGTGAAATGGTATTCGGTACAAGATCCATTGCTGTTGAGCATTTTGAGCTTTCCCATTGGGTTATGTTTGAAAAAGATTTATCTTACGCAATGCAACTCAAATTTGGAAAACCCCCAGTAGTCAATCTCAGATCATGTCTGAGTCCAGTATCACCACTTATTCTTTTGTTACCAGGTCTGGAATTGATCAGAATACATTAGAGTGCTTAACTTTCAATGCTATTCACAGCTCTTTCTTCCTAGTCATTTTTTCTCCTGTTTCCAAGAGGTTGGCATGATCCTAATCATTACCTCACCAACCTCACGTGACTAGACCTCAGATGAAGTCCCAGCGCTGTGACTGAGATCAGTAATAGGGGATAACTAATAAGTTCTTTATCTTTCAGAAACAAGCAATATTACTCAGGCATGATGGTATATTCTTGCAATGCCAGCATTTGTGAGGCATAGGCAAGGAAATCATGAATTTTTACCCAGACTAGGCTATATAGTGAATTCCAGAGCTTCAGAGATAACATAACAAGACTCAGTCTGAAACACACACACACACACACACACACACACACGAAAAAAGCAGGCTTAGATTATGATGTTGATGAATTATTTTTGGCCTATTGAAATGGACCCAGAAGTTACTTTATTAAAACAACCGTATTTTACCTTATTCAACTTCAAATGTATTTTTTGTACCCTATTCAACTTTTCATGTCTATTCACTTGAATATTACTGTACAGTTATTATGCATTCTGGAGCTCCCTAACATTTTATTTTCATTTTATTTTTATTTGCTTGTTACAAATGATCAAAAGCATTTCTCTTACTAGCAATCACTTTTGTTGCATATACCACTCTTTAGGTGCAGTTGTTTGTGAATTTGTCCCTTTTCCCACAGTCCCTGACAGGCAGTGCTTCTCCTCAACAGAGCTCATTTTTCAGATGAATGAAAGGCAATTTCAACTGTTAGGAAACAGAGATAACCACAAATTAGGTGTGATCATGTATATCTAAAGGAATAGTGTCAGTTATCAAGAAAAAGGGAAGAAGGAAAGAAATAAGGAAAAGAATGGTGGAGAACATTTCCAGGCTTTGCAGTGTTAAAGTAATCCAGACAATGTCTTAAGGAGCCACAAATGTTTTGGTAGCAATGAAATAAAAGAAAATTCTTTAGATACAGTAATGAATGTTTATGAACAATATATATTATATTTACACATCTTTAGCATTTTCCAGAAGGAATTTCAACAAAATGCTAATCCATAGTAGTGAAGGATTCTTAATATAATTCGCTTCAAACATTGGTCTATATTCGCCCATTAGTTTTAGTAACATTGCTGTTATCAAATGGGACTTGGTGAAAAGCTGTAGACACCATTTTGATCACGGTTCAACAAATATAATTTTCATTAGGACAATTTGATGGTTCAGAAGGAGGAAATAGATTTATAGGTTCTGTTCTGCTCCAAAACATGTTTCTTATTAGAAAACAAGTATGTTTTTCCCTACAGTGGAGAGACAGATATTTTATTTCAGCCAGTAGGTTTCTAAAATGTATAAACTATGATCCAGATATACATATAAACTTTGAAAAAGCAGATACTTGACACCCTTGACCTTCAAAGACAGTTCCTCTGGGTGCAAGACCTAGACTGCATCTTTTTTTTTTTTAAAGTAACCCAAGTACTTTTATCTGCAGCCCAGAGCTTGCAGCACATTTTTGAGAAACCCCAAACCACTAAAAGGGAAGTTAAATTATCCCAAACTTTTTTGGCATGGTTTCCTTATTCATAATTTAACCTGTGACTTTTGTCTTCAGCAATAATATTTGGCAGGAGAAGGCTGTCTTTCTATTTATTTATTGATGAACGTATTTATTTAAACCTTTCATTGTTTTAGAAGATATCAGAGCAGCGAGGTTAGTACTGTGAGGACAAGAGCAAATCTAAATATTGTTGGCCTAAGAGACTTACTTTATGCATAGTCATTTTTTTACATTTTTTATTGTCTTCACGTATTTGTGCAGTTTCAGTTTACATGTTAATTTATGAGTACAGTGTATCTTCATCAGCATTACCCTTTCCATCATCCTCCCCCCTTCTCCCAATCCCACACATCCCTTTAGTTAAAATTCCTGAAAATGCCTGAGTTTTTTTCCTCCAACACATATTGTAATTTTATTTTTTATTGTGACATTGTACTTCAGCAGTCTGCTTAGGGAAAAAAAAATTACAAAAATACCTTCACATTGTTAAACTAATTCTTTTCTCTGATTCAACGTCCTTTCTTACCTTTTTTTTCCCCAAAGACTTACGCTCTAATCCTGAGGCTCTCATTTTGAATGTTTTTCCCACTTGCATTATTTCCTTTATTTAAAAATAAAATCCAGCAAAGAGATCTCCTTGTAGCCATGTGTTAAAAATAACATTGGGTTTTCTTCAGCTCAGAAAGAGCTCAGAGACTGCTTCAGATTGACATTGCATTTTCTTCCTAATTTTTCTCCCTTTACATAACATCCTATTTGTTTCCATGTATGCATTTTTAAAAAGTTCTTCAAAGGAAAGGAAGATGGAGAAAGAAGGTAGGGCACTTGGAAGTATGCTGTTTGAGTTGCAAAACAATGAAAATGACTCACTCTTATCTCCTGTTATTTTACCCCAAGGATGTAACCTTAAGCACGGTTTTCTTTGAACATTAAATCTGGGTCATGTAATTATATACATGTTTTGTAAAAAGCAACTTTTAAGTTTCAAGTGAAAAGTAGGTTGTGGAAATGGCTATCCATGGAGATATATGGATGTGTGTGCATACGTGTGTGTGTCTATATTATATACTGTTTATAATAATATGACAATATGTTGATCATCTAAATCTACTTCAAAAACAAATCATGAATTTTTGACTGTAGAATGGAGTGTGAAA